GGGGGGCCCCCGCGGGGGCCAGCCCCGGCCCCCCCGCGGCAGCGGCTCGGCGCCGGGCTGCGCCGCCTCGCCGGGCGCCGGGTCCCCGCTCCGCCGGTGCCCGGGTCGCCGATGAGCGGGCTAACGTGTTGCGCTCCCGTTCCCTGCTGCACACCCCTGCAAACCCGCGCCGGCAGACGGGGACGCGGGGACGCACCGCCGCGCTCCAATATTTTTTTCCCCTTTCTGTTTATCTCTGCAGGTAAAGTGGAGCTGCACGGGAAACTCATAGAAGTTGAGCATTCAGTCCCTAAAAGACAAAGGTAATTTGTTTTTATTTTTTTTTATTCCCCCCTCGCCCTCAGTTACTCAGTGAGAAGCAATCTGAAAAATGCTTAGGTTCGTGTTTCTCTTTCTTGTAGATAAATGGACTGCTTTCTTAAACCCACAGGCGTGCACTCTGTGCTGTCCTCGAGGTTTTCTATAATCACCCCATGTATTTCTAATGCAGTGTCTCGGCCGGGCAACAGTGGTAGTATTTAATTTGCCCCACCCCCCAAAAATAAAATAGCCTTTTTGTGGGAGAAGCAAGTTATTGTGGTCTGATGGCAAATGATTGTGAAGATTTTAAAATTAAAAGTTCCTTGAGAGGAGTTTAAAATCCGGGTGTTAGCAGGAAATGAAATGTGGTGTTGTGAACAGTATAACGGGCAAGCACATGAGCTTTGCTCTAGCAACAAATAGCATCTTGTAAATATACTGGTATACATATTTTTTTGATCCTGCCATGTTGGAGTCTGCAGCATTTTATAGGCACATAGGAGAAGTCTCATCTGTGTTTGAGAGGATTTTTCATCACTGTTTTGAGCTGGTCTATGGAAGCAGCAGGAGAATGACTTCTTCTCAATAAGGACAGGATTTATGCATCCTTAATTTCTAAACGTATGTTTAATTTTTGCAAGGTAGTAATTTTGTTGGGCCTCATGTAAAGAAGCAATGCTTGCAATAAAGCAGGGTAGTACTTTTATACTGCCTATAGCAATTCAGCCTGCTTCTTTGACGAATATTTAGATTATAGAAAACCTGGCGTGCATTAGAGAGTAAAAGCAAAATAGATCAAACTTTCCACGTGCTTGTTCCTGTACTCCATTATTCAATCTGGGAAGTATGTCTGTCTGTATAACTTTGTTAAAAGGGACTTCTACTATTTCAGGGTTATTTTTAAAAGTGCAGCCTTTTTAAAATAGTTGATTTGAGAAGGTGAATTAGCTGTCTTGATGGGCGTTGTATCTTGGTATTTTGAGAATTAGAAGTTTAATCACTATTTAATGTTAGAGCAAAGCTTCACTTGAGAAAGTATGGAGGATTTTTGCTCTACTTAAGGGAGGGGGGGGAACCCTCTGTGGACCAATTCGTAGCATGCTAATCTTTATGCTTATATTTATTTGATATTTTTCATTGGAAATTAATATGCTGTATGTGCTCTTTCTCATTTATTATGCAATGTATATGGCTTTGATTTACAGTAGCCTATATTTCAGATCATTTGTGCGTATAAGAATACTGTTGTAGATGGAATATATTTTTAGATTTAAGGAGAAAATTCCATGGGACATAAGAATTGATAATTTCCTATTAGTCTCTGTAATAAATAAATTTATTGTCATGCTTATTAATCTTAAGCTTGCACAAGTAGTATTCTATTTATGCTGTTGAAAGCAAATTCATTTCGCCCATATAAAGGTAAATTTTAAATCACCGGTGACCCTCTCAACTTTTTTTTTTTTTTTTAATCATTGTTCAACGTGTTTAAAAGTGTTTTCCTGTTCTTTCAGCTGTCAGCTGAATTGGTGTAAAAGTCCATTCTTCATATTGGGTAGCACGTCTTCATATTTGTCTGTGAATTAGCAATTATCAGAAACATGCATCTGTAAGTTGTTGAAAAGAATTCTGCACTGAACTTAAGCGTTTTTCTAGGCATGCGTTGCCTACATATAGGCATAATATTGAAAAAATTGCAAATATAATTGTATCAGCATACCCGTATTGTTTCTCCCAAAGCCCTTAATTGTTAAAACACTGTTTGATCATGCAGTATCATGTTGGAATGTATCGCTATAGTTCAGATTTATACTGCTGTTTAACAGAAAATTAAACTGCATTTCTCATAACTGCACTTCCTTCCCCTTTGTTTCCACTCCCCCTCTCCCAAAATCAAATATAGAAAGCCACTTAAAATTCATTCAGTGGCCTCCATATATAAAAGTGGCTCTCTTGTTCCCTTTAGAGATGTCTAATACTTTTTTTTTGGGGGGGGGGGGGAGTGGGGCTGTGCGTGTCAAAAAGTTGGAGATTTCTTCCATGTCTCTAAACATTGCTTACTGGGCATATATTGACAGTTTGTTAGATATGTGCAAAAACACAGGTTTCAAATGTTGAGTATTTTGGTGAAACTGGTTATGAAGGTGCTTTCAAAGTAACTTATTTGAAGTCTTTGTATCTTTTTATGCCAGGGAAAGTGTCAGCTGCAGCTGGGGTGGGGGGTGTGTTGCTCACCAGGCCCACCCAGTGCGTTTGCATGCTGCAAGGCCAGGGAGTGCTTTCCAGAGAGCCCTGCGCACTCCAGCACGCGAGATACGGTTAGAGCAGTGACGCCATTTAAAAAAAAAAAAAAGTGGATGTGTCAAGTCTGTCTTTCAGCATGAGTGTACGATTAATAGTTTGGCCAAATGATTACTTCATAAGAGCAAAAGTTGTTTTGTAGCGCACTGAAATTATTCAATACGTTGTGTTGACCTCTGCTGTTGTGAGGCGGCTTCATGGAGACTCCTAGCTCCCCTCCTTACAACCTCCTTATATATGACTTTTATTTTTTTTTTTTTTTTAGCAGAGTGTGTACATGGTCGCTTGCAAAAGTAGTTTGTGGGTATCTTTCTCCAGAGGTGGCTGAGGTGCATGAGAGGAAAGGGTAAGGGTTTGGTAATCCATATCCTTGTCACATAAAGGAAGGTCAAGAGGTGGTGTCAGCTGGGGTTGCCATAAAGTTGAGCTGGATCCAGAAGACAGTGGAGTGTGCCTGGCTTGTTATTCAGGGTGAAATTCTTGGGCCTGGTAGTCACTGCATTCCAGCCCTTGCTGGATCTTCAGATTTGAAGTGGGCACACCCAGGTTTGCAAAATTACCTTCCTACCTGCTGTGGAAGGAAGGAGAGAGCCTGTGTGTGGCTTTCTCCCTCCCCTCCCCCCTGGAAGCATTTAAAAACAGACAAGGGGATACGCTGTGGTTGAAAGAAGGGGCCTGGTCAAGGTTTCCTTGATGGAAGGGTGGAGAATTATTTTGGGGGAGGTGCAAAGTATTTAATAAGCTTGGAGTAGATTCCTGACTTACTACTGAAATCTCAAGGGAATGCCAAAGGAATGCAGCATTTCTGCATTCAGACCCCTCAGTGTGGAGGAAGGCTATTGCAATATTTGAAGGTTTAGGTCACTTTATGCAAAAGTTGGAGAAGGCATTGTAATAATTCTGACTGCTAGTCACGCTCTGTGAGCGAAGGCAGGGCACTGTTAGTCACGATTGCTACTTACATGGGTTTTCTTCATGCAAAGCAGCATTGCAGAAGGAGGATGGTGGCAGCCCATAGCAAGTGCGTGCGCCCATGCCTGTGAAACTTGTGATGCAAGGCTTTGGGTACTACCTTGCTGCAATCCAAGAGCAGCTGGTATCTCGCAAGGCGATGTACGCTGCAATCTGATTATTCAAATGGCCCTGATGTCACTTGTGCGTGATGAGGGGGGAGGGCAGGTGCTAACTCTGGGCACCTGGGGATGTGCCTGGCGTAGCCTCCTGGTCCCAGCTCCTGCCTCAAGGTGGGCTTCACACCCAGACCTGGTCCACCACGCCTGCTCCTGGGGCCTTCAGGTGTTGAAAATGCTCGCAATGCTTCAATTGTGGTAATGAAGAGGTGTTTTTCCAATTAGAAGGTTAATTCCCACTCCCCCCCTTCCTCGAGGGCTCTTTGTTGAGGAAATAAATTCACTATATCTCTTCGGGGTGGGGGGGGTTGTTTGGGAGAGGAGTAGGAGAAGAAGGTAGCAAAGGTGCACCTTGTAGGTAATGCTGCCTCTTAAAAAGCTGTGCTACAGGGAGTGCAATGACCTGCCAGCTGTGCTTTACCTCTAATGCTGAAGTATCTGAAGGCTGATTTGAGGAAAACAGGCCCAAAATCCCTCATGCAACCATCTCTGTTCCAGAGGCAAGCATTATACCTCAGATTGTGTTGCTAATTTTCAGTATAATGAAGGTTTGTATCTCATGTGTGCAAGGCAGTGGGAAACGGCTTTGCAAGCCACCATGTATGGTGGCTACAATGGTCACAGTTATTAAAAAAATAATTTAGTGGCATTGATTTTTAGTTTTGCTTCTGTAAATATCAAGCAGGAGGAAACCTGCTGAATGCAAGAAGACGTGATAGACAATGTCATTTCTTAAGGTATTCGTGCTCTTTTCTGTGGCGAGAGGAGGAGAACCGTGCCTGGGTCCAACCAGAATGTTTTCAAGAGTAAAGGTCCAAAACTTTGCATAGTGATTTCGGGTTTTTATTTTCTGTTTCCACATTTATTTTTGCAGATGTGAACAGGAAATTATTTTTTTATTTTTTTTTTAACCTTTGAAAGCTTACAATTAGAGTGGAAACAAACCCGGATAATTGTGGTGATTCCTATATAGACGAGTCATTATGGCAAGAACAGATGATTCTTCACTAACCATGTTAACTGTTATTTTGTTGGAAGTTTAATTTTTATAGCTCTTCATACTGTTTGATCATTAAAAAAAAAATCCCTTTTTGTTGCATTTTTTTTCAATAAACTGAAGTATACAAAACACAGCTCTAAACACATGTCCTGAAGGGTTGGTCCTGCTCTCTTTTTCCTACCTTCCCTTTATAAAAGGTACCCTGAGAACATACTTGTAGTGGACCTTAAATTGTGCACAGATACAGTAAATTTTGAAGGGTTGGTATAAAAAAAATAACATTTTGGAAATGTAATTCAAGGGTAGTAAAACATAATCAGGAATTGTTTAAAATTTTTTTATTTATTCCTTTCCCCCCCAGGACTCTACAGTGCTGGAGTCCTTTTATGGCTAGCTACTGAGTGGACTTCAAATGCTTAGATTTGACCTGAAAAAATCTTAAATGGCCTGGGATTTACCTACCTAACAGAAAATGTGAAACTTCCCATAATGGCCACGAGAGAGGGACCCAGGCGGAATTGAAGTACACCTAAGACTTAACCACGGACAGGGCTAGCCCTTCAGGGAACCT